GAAATTTAAAATGAAAAATCAATTATTAATTTAATATAATTAGAAAAGGAAATTTAAAAATTAAAAATCGAAATTGATAATTAATAGGTTGACAAGTGGCATAATATTTGACATATAACATTAATAAAGAGTTCTAATAATATGACACTTATCAATAGGAGAATAAACATATTCTTTTATTATAATAGAGATATAAACCCTAAACCATTAAAGGTTAAGAATCATAAGAACCACTCATTTTAATTTATAATTAAGGTTATTTGTGTATTTTCTAGTATTTTGATCTTTTTTGAAGTTTTTATAAATGATAAAAAAACAATAAGGACATAATGGTCTTTTGGAGAAAAACATATTACATATATTAGATCTGATAACATTTCGTCATTATTTTCCAAGAACAAATCCTTTCACCTCCTTCAACCATTTATGATGAACACCACCACATCCACCACCGTCGACGACCGTCTCACCACTGGTAACACCGCCGCTGACGACACCTCCACATCGCAGCCTCCAACCACCGACGATAACACTTACATACGTCGTCGGAGTTTCAAATCTGGAACCACTGATGTGATGAACCACCATCGTTATCGTCGTGTCCTCCTTCCACGACATATCTGCTCCGGCGAGCCACCACTTTTTCTTCAGATCTGCTCTGGAGAGCCACCAAAACCACTAGATTTTCACTAAGATACGGTAGATCTAAAATGCATCAGATTTGGACCTTCTTCCACTCAAAATCTGGAATCCCCGACAACTTTCCAACACCACCACCACGAACCTCTGACATATCAGATCTGTTCCACAACTACATCTGAATATCCACCTCCAATCGTCTCCGCTCGTTGTCGAAAACCACAAGATCTTCATATTTACAAGCTTCGTTCCAAATCTACGATTTCTAGCACCACCAATGTTAAGATTTGTGAGCTCCGGTCCTGATTTGTGATTTTTGCCATAACAGACATCCAAATCTGCGAGTTTCGACGAGATCTGGTGTCGTCTTCTTCAAGTTGAACATCTGGTTTGTGTTCTTCATCTCAGATCTCTAAAAGTTGTTTGTTGTTTGTTCTCTCGAGATCTGGATCTGTTCTTGCTGTCAAACATCATCGGAGAACCAAACAACGTTGCGTGACTTCAGAGATGATAAGACTCTTATATATCTGGTCAGATCTGATGTTTTATGATGATTATGCATCTTATGTATGTGGTGCATACAAAGTGTTTGATGAAATGTCTCAACGAAATTTGGTAAGTCATTAAGTTGTGAATATGTGTTTTTTATTTATTAATTTGTGAATATGTAAGTTATTAAACTATGATTTTTGTGTTTAAAATTTTAAATTGACTGCATTAAGCTGTGAATTTTCTGTTTAAACTGTGAATTAAATGTATTAAGTTGTGAATTTTTAATGAATTTTGTGTTAAAATATGAATGATTTATATATCAATGTTTGTATTAATTTTCTTGTGAATATATTTATTTTTTGTGTTGTATAAATATGTAAGAGTATTAGTTTTTAATAATTATTTTGCATTAAACTTATAATAAGTGAATTAATTGGTTTATTAAATTGTGAATATAATATTTAACATGGCAGTTAATGATTTTATATATAGATCTAATTTGGAAAGGAAGATGATTGCAACGATGACACATGTGGTTGATGGTGGTGTGTGGTAGTAGTTGGTGGTGGTGGTAGAGTTTGGATTTGACTTCTTTAAATATACGAATTGGTGTATAATGTATTGTATTATGTTATGTTGTGAATTTTATGTATTAAACTAAAACCGGACTGTATTAAGTTGTATATATTTTATATAAAATTTATGTTAAAATATGAATGAAGGTATGCATGCAAATAACAAATTACGTATTAGTGAATTAATATATTTATTAAACTGTGAATACAACTTATACACAATATATATTTCATAAAGATATCTACAATTTAGAAAAAAAAATGAATTTATCAAGGCATAATTCAATTTTTTTTACTAAAATTTTGGCTGGAAAAATAAAAAGTATTTCCAAAGAAATGAGAGTTTTAATGTTTATTCTATTAAGCCGTGAATACGACAAAAAAATGCCACGAAATTTCATGTTAGCCCGATGACAGTCCGACAGTGATCCGACGATGGTCCGACAGTGGACTCACGACAAGTGGCAAGGTTTGTATACTAAGGAATATAAAAGTTTTCTTAATACAATATAAATATTGGATTAGTCCAAAATGTCCTTAATAAAAACATTTAAAAAATGGTTCTTATAGTTCTTAACCTTTTTGGGTTCTTATTTGAACCACTCCC